CTATATCAGTGAATTATTTGCATTGCTTAAGACATAACCACTGCTACGACGGAATCGTATAAACGAGTTATTTTTATCACAACTATAGTAGTACTTGTAGTAACTATGTACTTTATATGTTTAGGAACTATTCAACTTTACCCGGAATAATTTGCATTTTAATATAATATAACTTTCCTTTATCAACATTTATATTATTATCACCAACGTATGGATAATAGATATTTTAACAGCTTTGCTTCAACTTGGAATATTTAAACTAAATAATAATTCAAGCTCATAGGCTAATAAAATGTAATAATAATAAAATAGTTAAGCTAATAGTAATAATTAGACTTTATCTTATAAAAACATGAGATATTATCCGTGCACATTTGCATTTATTTTAAAACTATAATCAAGTTATGTTATTAACAATAGTAGTTTATTAAAATTCAAAAATAAAAGTTATTGAATTTGAAATGAAAAAAAAAATGTTTTGTATTAGGTATACCAACTAAGTATTTTTGTTTTCTAACTCAAAAATTGTATAGTTAAATATTTATTTGGATACAACATTTACGGAAAATAAAATAAAAAGCAAATATCTGGAATTCAAAACGGATAAATTGTAAAATAGATTGCGTTTAGTAGTGTAATAATACATATAATTTCATAACATGTTTATCGTTTCATCATCAGAGATATCTAAATCAATTTTTAAACTTATTAAAATAACTTATTGCTTACACCGAAATTATAAGTTATAATTAATCACAAAATAGAGATTACATAGAGATAGGTGATCCAAATAATTTAATCAAAACCATGATTGTTTTCCAGTGATAAATTTGCCTTAATCAAGTCACGTCTGTACATTGAATGTAGTTATACAAGTTTATTATGATATATATTTGATTAAGCCAATGTTCATTTGCATATAATACTAAACGTAAAAGTTGTGACGATTCATTAAAAAACAACTGCAATATCAGATTATTCCATTATTAATATCCCAAAATTGTAGTTAACAGATAATAATCTTAAGATATTTTATTAACACATTTATTAAAACAATTTTATTTTAGAATATTATTTAAGTACCTATTTAGTTTAAATTATGTGGTTCAAATTGTTTTAAATATGTTGCAATTCACAATAATACTTAAAGTTTTTTTAATAAGCTAATGTAATACAAAATTAAAAAATACTATCAAACAAATTAATAAATCCATGATTAATTGGTTTGTAATTCAAAATTTTTAAAGCTACAGGATCACGACTACCCAACTTAATTTGTGAGTTCAAAATTAATTGAATAAGCTACTGTATGTACATTTGCATAATATTTGAAATTTAACAAGATTTTTTTATAGTTTATGTACCAAATGGAAAATATAACAATGTATGGGCTTTTTTTTTAATATACAATCAATTTTAGTGTAAACATTATTGGTTTGAATTTCAGATTTAAATAATTAAACACTTGATTTATCACTTATTATTATAATGTTCAACAGTAGTAATATTTTTATTTTTAAGAGCAAAATATATATACAGGAAAGCTTCAAAAATATTTTAAATCAAAAATATATCCAACTGCTAATATAATAATTATTTCAAGAATATAATAAGTAGGTTTTTAAAGTGGAAAACAAAAATATGTCGATGCCTTGATGGTATACAAGAGTAACGGATTCTTCATCTCTAATTATATTAGTTTAATATAAGATAATATCCGACGCTTCTTCCAGTTAAACTTAACGATTTTTTTTCTAATTTTATTTAATTAAAATTAATCTAATTGTTCCAATATGTGAGCAATCATAACTTAGAACAAAAATAATGTGAAAGTCAAACTTTTTAGTGTTTATATTTTAATTTACACCGCCAATTTCTAAAATTTAGTTCAGTTCTGTGTACTTATACGTACTAAATAAACAATAATATTCCAAAAATAAGTTAGGAACATTGATTTTTAAAATTTTTTTTTTTTACTAAAATATTGATATAACGTTAATTGTATTTATAAGAATAATTATTATCAAATTGCCCAAATAATTCAATAAGTTAGCGTTACAGCATTTCAATCACAAAAGTTGTTATGAATGTGCCAAACCCGGGAATTAAATATAATATATAAAGTTATATGATCGGGGGAAAACGAATATTTTGGAATGTGATTCCTAAATATTATTTTTCCTTACTCACTATTTTATAATACAAAGTTCATGCCTGCGTGGCTCTAATGTACAACGTCGTTTTCGATAATGTGATCCATTACTGTATAGTTCCACGTCGGTAGACGTGAGAAAAAATAATTTGCACACGAATAGAATAGACTCGATTTTTTTACGTTACATACAAACCGAATGTTTTACAAATGTAATAAAATTTCCGTTGGAAATTGACTTTTATGGGGGTGGAATATTTTTTTTGGTTTTCGTCTTGTCCTCGCTGAGGTAATTCAGCGTTCTCGCGAATTCTGTATATATTTTAATCCTGTATAGATTTCTGGTTGGATATATTATTATGAATTCGGGGTTTTATTATTATTATTTCTACCCTAAAAATATACCTATATACAGACTCAGAAAAATTACATAGAACAGCGTATAGTGTTCATAAATCGTTATGGCACGCTTTTTCGATAATAACAATATAATATTTATACACATACCACAAACACTGATCGTTGTAGAAAAAAAAGTAATAATTGCCCTTGTCTCCCTCTGGCGAACAACGATATATTTCGATATGCAAATTTTATTAGAACGTCAGTGTACATTTTCAAAACTCAAACTATATTCTTACATTTACACTATTTTTTTTTATTTTGTAGTTGTGTTGTTTCAGGAGTAACACTTTAATATTACGGTCTATGTGGCTATTTTCCTTGAAATATTTACATTTATGTAGACAACCAAGTATTTAGCATGTTACTTACCCTACACAAAATAAAAAATGAACTCGGAAAAACAAAACTTAGCGATAAACCGTAAATATATACATACAGCATGTCAGTATACTAAAAAGTGTTGTCTTGATAGTTATTCAGTCCTTGCAGAGATACTTTGAATTAATATGCTATAACTTCCAAATAAAAAAACTTTCTTTTTATATACACTTGATACGCGTATAATATTTTATTTTTTGTAAATCAATTTTACCTAACTACCTTTAAATTAATAACATGAAATACTAATAAGTTGCTGGTGATGAGTACAATAAATGATAGCAGTATAAGATACCTAGATATAATCATTTTTAAACACTCCCGAAAAATTTAATTTATCCATGTGAATAATAAGAAAATTTCAATCCTATGATTATTAAATATTAACAAAAAGTTATTTCTAGGTACACAATACACATAATATAATAACTCGTCATTAAAATCGAAAGGATTCGCTAATTTTTTTAAATGAAATTATGTGCAAACAATTTAGTGTTATATAATTACTGTTTACTTTACTTTTAAGACAAATTATAAAATTACACACATTAAACACGCGGAAAAACTTTACCCAAGCTTTCTGAAATGTGTTTCTACAAGTGCAACTTACAAAGTAGCATTAAGATTATATTGTATGGTAAATACTATCGTTTACTTCTTATAGCCACTACGTGTGTCTCAGGAATATAATAAATATGTACACATTAATTATTTAAACAAAATTTCAAGAACATTTATAATTCCATTGAAAACTGTATTAAAATCGACAAGAATAATTTTACTTTTTATTTTTCTCATGTAGACACATTATAATATTTTGATTTTAATATAACTAGGCAAATTGATTTTATAACAATTTCATACCAATAAGTCAGTTTGTTAAAAAAATATTTTGAACGTGATTAATATATAATTTTACATAAAACGTGTAAATAGTTTGATATATTTTAATAAACCACAGTTAATTTACTCGACTTCATATACACCATCTTTATTAATTTTAATAATAGAACTTCAATAATTGTAAGCTGAAAGTTCTAAATAAAAAAAAAATGATATACCTATTAGTAACTTTATTTAATATTAATACAGTTATGGAATTTTTTTTATTTTCAGTAGGTATTATAAAAGATTATAAAACTATTTCTATACACTCCTTTGGTTATTAATGTGTTTACTACGTAAATGGACACGATGTTAAACAATGAGGTACAAGAGGTCGATAAGACACTGATGGAATAAATCATAGCATTCTAAAAACAAAAAATTTTACATGATTAGATGTGCTGTATAGGTGCAATCAATGTGTTATTGAAATACGAGTACACCCCACAGCTATAATATAAGTAAAGGTATACCTATACACTGCTATATACTAGAACCTATAAGTTACCCAACCGCCCATCTATATTTCGGTTTCAATCTCGACAACTAGGCGTGAACCAATCTCCGCTACTGAGATAATATTATCCATACCTACCATGTCTTTACCCCGTAATAGCGATACACAGGGGATGAGCTTACAGGTATTATTATACCAACGCAAGTCTTACAATTATTATACCTGCTCGCTACAAGTCGATCGGCAGTCGGTTGCTCTCGATAAAAATGTATAATATTACAACACCTCATTACAACGCGTCTACGCGGACATCGTCGACGTCGGCATTTGACCACCGCAGGTGTCATAGCGATTTGATATACGTTCTACCTGCAGGCAGTGGCGTGTTCACGGAGCGTGACCAGGGTGATATATCACACCTCCAGAGGCTTTTTATTTTTTAATAATTTTTTTGTACCTACTATAAGGTGACGAGGTTTTTATAGAAATATTTTACGGTTTTATTTATTCGCTGGACGGATTCAACTCCAGTGTAGACGATTTTTGGCCGATCTATATCGAGTGAAGGGAGGTTTTTTGTCACCTCGAAAAGCATTAATCCTCCACCTGATGGCACTGTAACTATAGGTATTATGCCTGGTTTACGAGATGCAACGAAATGCATTATAATATAATATACCATTATAAATAATATATAATATATGTTCTACTGTTATGGCGTACCTTTAACACGACTAACACGTCCATTTAGTCGGACGGGTTTGAACGCGACGGCGGCGGCGGTGGCGGCGTGCTGAGCGATTCGCGTGACATCCAGTCATTAGCACATCATCGTCGGCGCGCGTGCACGTGACCCGGCGGGTGGAGGACGGTTGAGCGGCGTACCATGTGCGGGCGGAAAGGTACGAGACGACGACGACGATGGGTGTTTGGAGCGCGGCGGATACCTGTTGCGGGATCTAAGAAATCGCGTGACGCGGTGGCACGGTGAGAGACCGTGTGTCGCGGGTGCAGCGGACCACCGGAAGCGGCGTCGGTAGACGCGAAAACGACGGACGGAGGAAGTAGCCGGTGACGACGGTGATTACGGCAGCGGCGGCGGCAGCGAATGACGGCAACGTGCACGCCTTGTACGCGGCCCGAAACTTTGTGCTTCACTGTCGTGCTTCGGCGGCGGCGGCCGCGGCATCGTTGTCGTCGTCGTCGTCGTTGTCGGTGGCGGCGTCGGCGTCGGTAGCGGACCGGTAGACGATCTGGCGGCGGCGTCGTTTCGTTGTGGGCACAAGCGCGCACCCCCCTCCGGTGCACAGTGATGGGATAAATTTGAATTCTAGGTATGGACAATAACCATTTTTTTCCTCCCCATTAGTTGATATGGGCGGTAGTGAAGTAAGTACGCCGATGAGCCAAAGAAATAATTAATGAAACTTTTTTTCGATGTGTGCGTTTCAAACGTTTTGAAAAACTGAAAATCGACTGATTTTAGCGTTCATCATGTCTATATCACTCAATACATCCATAGGAATCCTTTTTTATATCATCAATTAGGTACGTCAATAATGGATAATGTTTTGGATTGTTTACAGGTTTTGTTGTTTTATTATAAAACTTTCATTTAAAGTATAAACAATTTTCATAAAACTTAATGTTAAAAGTCTCTTTTTATACTTTAAAATAGTACCATTGGAAGTACCTAGTGTCTTGTGGTAGGGCACTTTATGAACAACACGTTCTTATGCCGCTTTACTAGCTTCAGTTTTACCAAATTTTTCTCCCACATTTGCACCCCTAGAATATTTATCGAAAAACGAGTTGAGTACAATAAAAGTGTGCACATCGCCACGATCTCCACTTTTCCAGCAGCAATCAAAATATAATTAAAACTCTCCAATATCACATGACTTCACTATGAAATTCGTATTTGCTGTCTATCCGTAGGGTTTTATACAGTAGAGTCATACGCCGCCACCTCGGAGGAGATTTTTACGCTGCAAACGTCCCATCACCGCCGCCGAGTATAATTTTGTTATTTAACGTCCCGCGGTTTATTTACTTGTTTTTTTTTTTACCAATTTATTATTGTCAAACGACCAATAATTGTTAAATTTCTATTGGAGTGAATGTGAATTGTACTTCACGATTGCCGTGTGACGTATTATGATTGTACTGAATTAAAATGGTTCGACTGCGCGGTGGGAAAAAAACCGACTATACTAATTATTGAAGAGTGAGAATTATTCTCGCTCTTCTAGCTATTAAACAGGTAATGTATACAAATTTAATTACGACGAAATGAGCAGACCACCCCACTTACTAGGATTTAGGGGTGTGAGTGGTGAGTCATTTTTTTAATTTTAACACAATATTTTCATTTATAATTATAAATATTAACATAATATAATAATTATTGTTCAACCCCTCCTTTTTTAATATTCAATAATTTTCTAAGCATTAGAGAATAGAGATAAAGTTTGACTACATAAATACTTATAACGATTTATTTATATTTAATTATTCCTATTTCCTACACTTTCGAAGTTATGTATTAAAAACAAAAAGCAATGATACACTGAATACACTGTTGAAATTGACTTTTTTGCTATTTCAATGGCCATCGTTCGCCTAAAGCCTAACTCCACGGTAGAATTCAGTAACATCTGGTATATTCACATGGTAATTGGAAGTAATTGGTCATTATTGTGTATTTTTACGGTAACAATAAAATGTTACTGTGCGTCTGTGCGCAACAATGTCTTTTTCTAAACGTTTACTACTCCATGGAGGTTTCAATAATACCTTTTTACTTATAAGCAGGGTTATTGTTTATCAAGGGATCGCCCACATTTTATGTTTAAATTCAAAATGTATTAAGTCCTATTATTTATAGGATATACCCAAACCCAACGCTATATAATAGGAATATAGACCATGTGAGTAAATTCAATAAAGGAATCGACGATATAATCCACAACAATTATACTTCACCTCGTACTTCACGTTCGTACATAAAATATAAGGTAGGTCTTGAAAATCGTCATAGGAAACATTACGAGACTAATATTTTACCAAGGTTTCACTACAATGTTAAAAATTTACCCAGGTACCTATCCAGGCGGGGGGGGGGGGGTCCAGGAGTCTAACATTTTTTTTAGAATAGAATAATTTTAGCTGTGAATATTGTTTATTGGTTTTATACTAGTACTATACTTACTACTCTTTAATATTGGATATTACTAATATCGTTGATTATTGTATGTAATATTTTTAATTGATAAGAACCGCTCCCCCAGCACAAGCTTCGCTTATAGGGGGTGCTGCAATTAATCAATTTAAATATTTATATATTGTATGACATGTTGTTTTGCAAAAATATATTATTATTATTATAATTGTATTAAGAATAATTTTATATTTTTTAAAAAATAGTAATAACGAGAATAAAGAGTTTTGTATTTTGAACGTTAAATGACGAATGTCCTTGTTGGGTAAACGGAAAAAAGTCCCGATATAATAAAACCGTATAAAAAACATAATAATTGTACATTTGTTAATTATTATTTTTATTTATACACATAATATTATGTTATTAATTATGTATATGACGTGCCTACCGGTATAGTTATATTTAAAAAAATTACACATGCTCAATATATCATATACACGATAAATACTTAGGTAGGTACGTGTCATAACAATGTATACTAAAAAACGTGAAAAAAACATTAGTTTAAATTTTTTTAGGTATACGGTTAACGGGCAATAAGTCAGTATATTATTATTTGAATTTTGAACTTTTGAATTTTTTTTAATTCTGTGGTTACTTGCGACCCACCACATATCACCACAATTCTTGAAGCCATACAAAGTAATCATAAATATAGCTGATGTGTAAATTGATCGCCGAAATAATTACAGTGATGGATAAAAATATATAATTATATTATCCTCATACAATATGGATAATCATCTGTCTATCATTATTGTTTTTTTTTCTTTTTTAATATCGTGTCGACTGTCGAGTACTCAGAAGTGAGCAACAATAGTGTGTTTATTGATTAATTTTCTAGCGCAACGAGAAAAGTTTTTTTTGAGAAACATTTTTGAAAAATATGGCGTACACTCAAGCATTATGTTTTACCAATCATACAATTATACGTCCCTGCCTATGCTCAATATATTATTATTATTGCAATCATATGCGTTCAAGTGCTATGAATTATTGTGAGTAACGCCAATAACGAACGTAGCGTGAGCGTATACGAAGACACAACAGTAACTGTTTTAGTCTACCCCTGCCCTTCACACAGGTCTCTTACCTGTGAATAATATTGGTGTCAGGACTCGTGATGTATGCGTCTTCCTCGGCTCGTAATCCTCGGGAAACGGGCGACGCGTTTTGTCAGACCGGAAATGATGAGGCTCTCAAATGTACGCACAACGAGACTCGTTCCGCTGGAATTACGTTACATCACTATTAATACACGCTCGCGGACGAAGACGACGACGACGCGACAACGGTTTGAACGATCATCGAACGGCACGACGGACCCGGATAAAAAGCCGTCGACCGCAGTTTCTTAAAAGACTGACTGGCCGACGACGGAAAATGAATATTGCGATTCCACCAAAGAGAATTAATATTACCCGTAGAGGTTAGGTTAGGTTAGGTTAGGTTAGAGTAACGATCGAAAACAATATTAAAAACGTACGACCTAAGCCCATAGACCTTATACCACTATACAAGAACTGTGTACAACAGCATTAAGAGCGGCGTAACAGTGTCTGACAATGATGTAGGGAATTCTAGGAAAAAAATCCCCAAAATGTGCTTTGTTGAGTTTGCAAAGTTTGCAACTGTCAACATCCGCGGACTGAAAGAGTTGGTTAAAAGACAAAATGAAAATAACCTAACCATTGGAGATTTTTTTTTGCAGATGTGAGTAATGACATACGCAAGCGAACTGATTAACTTGTAAAATATGTTCTAAGGTCTAACAATTTTTGTTTTATGCAGAACTATTATGCGGATCACAACTCGTCGGGTAGAGTTGAATTTTATAACCAACTTGTAGGTAACGTGTGACCAGCATTTTGTTACCTATGTAAAAAATGTACGGAACATCAAGCGTCACGACGAGCCGACGAGGTGTGAATCCACACCGTATAAATTGTAAAATGTGGACCACGGTCGCTGAATTTATACTGCGGTCAGATTAGGTTAGGTTAACGTTGACTGTTAAGTACCGCGGTCAACGGATAGTCGACAATTTATTTAATAAAGGCATCATCGTGGCTTTATAATTATCAGAGCAATGCTTCTGTTTTTGGTCACGGTCATTCCATAAAATGTGTAATTTTAGATTTTGTTTTCGTTTAATTTTAGCAAAGTAATTGTTATTTTTTCCGGGGAAATCGTCGATAGGGACGACGATGCACGCCGTGACGATTGTTTAATATATGTTCATAGGCCATAGCTATATGATATAGTTAATAGGTATAGATAAACATTAATAAACATTATTCTTATAATATACCTTCTGCAGTTGTAGAGTTAGATTACCGTTTGTATAGTTTATCAATGTCATTAGAATATATTATCTGTCATCAGTTTCAAAAATTTTTGAAAAAATTATACATTCCAGGTTCACCAATTATTTAAATGCAATAAATGCTATTCCGCATTTCTAATTCGGATTCAAATCAAATCATTCAACTACCCAACAACTCCTACGTCTAACAGAACATATAAGCGATGGTTACGAAAAAAAACAACATACAGGTGCAGCCTTTTTAGATGTAGCCCAAGCTTTTGATCGGGTCTGGCATGACGGACTCTTATATAAACTAAAAATGTTAAACACACCAAATGCTATTTACAATCTAATTAAATCCTACCTCACTGCTCGTTGTTTTAAAGTCAAAATTAACGATACTACTTCACAAATAAAAATTATAAATGCAGGTGTACCTCAAGGTTCAAAAATTTCTCCGTTACTTTTTAACCTATATGTTTCGGACTTTCCTACATCGATTAATACGGAAATAGCACTTTATGCCGACGACAGCGCAATATATTCAAGCTCTACAGACGTTGAAACAGTGACAAAAAATATCCAAGACCACCTGAATGACATCCAAAAATG